TCCGATTTGGTTGCTCTCTCTTCAGATTTGGTCTCTGTGTCCTCACATTTGCTTCATTTATCCGATTTGCTTGCTCTCTCTTCGATAATTTGCGAAATTGCTTCAAATCTCGTGGAAATAGGTAAGTTTCGACTTAAATACTGTTATTCTGTGGGTTTTTTCTTGTTTTTGAGTTGTTTAATGTGTTTTGTGGGGGAAAATCGAGTCACATGAGACATTTGGACATATGAGGTATATGAGTTACATGGGTTACACAATCATATGAGTCACATATATCACATTGGACAGACACATGGGTCACATAGGTCACATAGATCATGGGTCACATTGGTCACATGGGTCACATGGGTCACGGGTCACATGGGTCATATGGGTCACGGATCACATGGGTCACTTGGGTCACATGGGTCACATGGGTTGAATTTATCGAATTAGTGACTTGTCATGGTTATGCAGTGATTAATCATGGATTTTAATATCAATAACAACTTCAAAATAATGTTCGTTTCAATTTTCATATTCATTTTGGTAACGTGTCATTCGGTTTGTAAATTTTTTTTACAGGTATAATGGATGTAATGGAGAGAACTACAATTATTTATTTTCTCTGTGAAGGAGAATGGATTGTGAATAAGAACGGAGAATACGAATGGAACGGGAGAGTTATGGACAACCAAAGATTGTTGTTCTTTTGTCCTCCAACTGAGGTAACATATGAGCAACTTGTTGAAGAGTTATATTCTGAGATGGCAATAGACAAAGATAAAACGAAGATCAAACTAAGTTATTTACCGAATGTAAAAGAAAACAGAAAGCCCACATACCTTTTGAATGACAAGCATGTTCACATTTATCTCCTGGACAGAATAAGTGGAATGAGATGCATGCTTTATGTGGAGAAAGTACATGTATGTGTCAAAACAGAATGTGAAAAAGATGTCGAGGATGAAGCTATAATACCTGCTTATGGAAGCGTTGTTAGAGGCGATGAGAATCGATGTGAGGTGGATTTTGATGATTGTGTGTTACAGAGCCCTGGTTTTAAGTGTAGAGTTGGGAGTAATGTGGTAGAAGTTATAGATATTTCGGATAGTGAACAGTCAAATGGTTTAAGAGAATATGGGACGAGTGGTTGTGGTGATGGTGATGGTGATGGCGGTGATTGTGGTGATGGTGATGGTGATGGTTGTGGTGATGGTGATGGCGGTGGTGAGGATGATAATAATTTGGCTTTGGTAGTGGTTGAGGACTCATTATTTTCTAATTCTATATTCACATTCAGTGAGGGATTGAATATAAGACCTGGCCCAGTAATATGTACGAAAGGGTGCAACACTGGGTCGCTTTAATTATATAACTGTGAAGTCTGATAAGAAGTTATGGAAAGTAAGATGCAGGTTTGCAAGATCGGGTTGTAAGTGGAAATTGCATGTGGCAATGATCCAAAAGTCCAAACGTTTTAGTGTGAGAACACACGATCCAATTCATAGTTGCAAACCTGTATGTGAAACAAGCAATACCATGAAGGGTACATCAAAACTGGTTAAAGACTATTTGAAGGAAGAATATCTGGGTAAACTCGAGACGCCTACAGCAAGTGAATTAGTAGAACACGTCAAAAGCAAGTATGGACTTACTGTGTCATATTTGATGGCATTAAGAGGCAAGCATAGTGCAGAAAGTGAGATTCGTGGTGACCCTTGTGACCATTACAGTAGACTTCCAAAGTGGTTGCACATGTTGATCAAAAGAAATCTGGGGACGCATGCGAGTCTTAGCTTGGACGATGATGGCAGATTTAAATATGTCTTTATCGCTTTGAGTGCAGCTATAAAAGGATTGAAATATTTGCGTAAAGTCGTTGCCATTGACGCAACGTTTCTAACAGGGCCGTACAAGGGTGCATTGGTTGTTGCAACTGCACAAGATGGTGATCATCACCAATATCCTTTGGCTTGGGGTATAATCGATAGAGAAAAGGATGCATCATGGACATGGTTTATGGAAAGATTGAAAGATGCAATCCCAGATGGACCTGATGTCGTTGTATTATCCGATCGGCATAGAAGCATAATTAAGGCTGTTAGAGAAGTGTACAAGGAAGCTGACCACGATTTTTGTGTAAGACACCACACAAAATATAAAAGTCAAGGTTAATAAAGGCATGGGAAGAAAGAGTAATAGAGGTGAATCTGTCGCTTCACTATTCTACAAATGCGCAGAAGCTTATACGCTCAACGAGTTTGAAGAGCGGTTTAATGATTTGAAAGTCAGGTATGTTATCTGTGACCCATGTGACCCATGTGACCTATGTGACCAATGTGACCCATGTGCATATGCCGTGCAGGTTTCCCAAGTTTGCGGAGTATATGCAGAAAGAAGAACTTGATCCCGAGAAATGGGCAAGGGCAAAATTTACACGTCAAAGGTATAATCTATTGACTACAAATGGGGCCGAATCGATTAACTCCGTATTGAAGAAGGCAAAAAGGTTTCCGTTGCTTGGGTTGCTTGATATTTGTCTTGGAAAGACCGTGGAATGGTTCAATAGGCATAGAATGGAAGCAGGTTCAACTGATGACTCTCATAAGCTGACACCGTTCATTGATAAAGTGCTTCATGAGCGGTACGAGATAGCATGTACATATGAGGTAATTGTGCTTAACAGTTTTACGGACGAGTTTGAGGTGCGAGATAAAATGGGTAGGAAACACTTGGTGAGTCTAGGGGATAGATCATGCAGTTGTAAGATGTTTGACATAGACAAATATCCATGTAGTCACGCAGTCGCAGCAGTCCACAAGACTGGCAGAGGCAATATTATACCGGACTTATGCTCTCCATGCTTTCTCCGGGAGACATGGCGGTTGGCTTATCAAGAAACGGTTTATTCGGTTCCTGATTGTTGTGATTGGATCATTGACGACCCACGAGATGCAAACCTCGTGGTATTACCTCCGATTGTGGAAGATAAACACAAAACCGGTAGACCCAAGCAAAATCGGTTTCCAGGCCCCAGCGAACCGCGGACAAAGCATTCAAGAAGGACATTTCATAAATAATATGATTGTATGATTTCATGTAGTTCTCGTGACCCATGTGATTGTATACATTTCCAGAAGGACATCTATTTGGATAAGGTGATTTTCTTTGCACTAGTACCGTGTTAAAGTCTTGAATAGATAGAAAAAAGTTTTGAACTGTGTGACCCATGTGACTCACCCGTGACCCATGTGATCCGAAGACATTTTTACACTGTGTGACCCGTGTGACCCATGTGACCCGTGACTCAGTGGCACTTATAAAACACGGTCAAAACTCGAGTTTAAAGTGTTAAAATGGGTTATATGATGTTTTACAATGATAATATGGTATCTGCAAGTTAAATTCGTTAACAAAAGTAAGAGTTATATGAACATTAGTACAATTTATCCATAAGTTGTCATGAAACACTAGTATCACTTATGGATTACATTTGCATGAGCGATTTGAATATGAAAATTGAAATGAACATGATTTTAAAGTTGTTATTAATGTTAAAATCCATGATTAATCACTGCATAACCATGCCAAGTCACTAATTCGATAAATTCGACCCATGTGACC